TCAATGATGGAAACTATGTTCTTATGTCGAATATTTATGCCGCTAAGGAATGGTGGAACGATGTGGCTAGGATTAGAAAGATTCTGAAACATAGGCCGATATTGAGGAACCCCGGCCATAGTTTGATTCAAGTGGACAACGTTGTCCATGAATTCTTGGTTGGTGATGGCAGGCATCCCTGTTCGGAACAGATATACAGCATGTTGGAAAAGGTTGCCCTAACCATTAAAGAATGGAGTTTTTAAGTTCTTATGTCCATGAATATGTAGGCAACAATTTGATATAAGAATATGATCTTCCTGAAAATCTCGTCCAAATCTCTCAAGTATGTTTGATTTAGTTCCCAAAAAAGCAAAATTGTAAAATGTTTAGCCGATAGGATATCAAATTATCCATGTGATATTTTTTTTAACAATTTAAATCTAACCTTTAATAAGGATAAATTAAACGTTCAGTTTTAACAAATATATTTTCTTTTAATTTGAAAGTTCAAACTCGAATAAAGTTTATATTACCTTAAACTTGCAAAAACTTCATCAAAAACAGTAACTACAAGGTATTTTGAAAGTTCAACAAGGAATCTCTGTGGATTTTAAAAAATGAAAAGAAAAAGAAGAAAATAGAGTTTGAATGTTTGATTGCTGCTTCTACTTCAGAGGACCATTTAATCAAAAAAGAAGAAAACCCAGAACTTAAAGTACAACTGGAAGGAAAACAATGGTGTTCTTAAGTCATCATCTGAGCAGCTTCCTTTGCAAGTAACTTCTCCTTTGCCTTGGTTCGGGCCTGTGACTTCAATCCCATAATACCTCCACCCCACTTCTTCCTGTACTCGTCGTACTTGTCGTTGAAGTTTGCCTGCGATATAAGCTCCAAGTTAACCATATGATTTATAATGTATTACATATATTAACTATAATATTTTCTGTGGTCACAACCATGATTGCTTCAAGGATTTTGCTGAAGTCCAACTTATCCTCATTCTTAACTGTGGTCAAGGACAAGAAATTAGCGGTTTTCTTGTGGACAATCTGCATAGTATGACCACAAATAAGTACCGATCCCAAACGTGATTTCCCCTTGACGATGCAGTAAGGGACCTCCATTTTTCAGCACAAAGAAGGGAGCCACACAACCAATTCCATCGGATCCACATCATGCGCGATAACAACCAATGGAGCCTTGTTCTGCATTAGGAATAATAAAAACAGCCATTGTTTTAAACGACTTACCATATAAACAGAATGCACAGTGCCACACAAGCTAAACCGATGATTTTGAAGAAGATAAAGAGCTACCTGCTCAATGAGGTAGGTGACATGGTTAAGTCCGTATTTGACAACAATTGGTTTCTTAGACTTGGGAGCTTTTCCTTCAGCTTCAGCCTGGGCCTTTTTTCAGGAGACGTTCCTTCTTAGCTGCCTTGTCCTCTGGCATGTACTTGAGGAGCAATTTGAACAAACTTGTTGCTGTGATAATACAAAAAAAGAACCAAGGTTTAATCCCAATTGTTTAAAACAGAAAAAGGGAGCCACAGCAAGAAAGCCGGAAGGGCTAAAACAGGGACATAAACAAGTGAAGTTTTAGTGTACCAAGGTTCTTATCAAGAGTCTTGGTAAACTGGTTCAGTGCCGGTGGGACCTTCAACCTCTGCTTAAGGATCCTCTTTTCCTTTGAATGCGGACAACCTTAGGCCACCTCACGAACCGGTGCAGATCCTTCTTTGGAGGTAAGGCTTCTCCAATACCAAACTGCTTTGGACGCTTCTCAAACAATGGATTGACAACCTTCTCCTAGTTTCTCTGATATTGGAGGAAAGGACTGAAATTTATAAAAATGACAAAAAACAAGTCGATGTATGGGCCGGTTCAGGAAACATATGGGCTTTTCGGATCCTTACATATCTGAACTGTTAACGGATATAAACGGTTTTGAGAAAATAAAGCCTACTAAAACTATGTTTTTTTTCCAATACTCCAGGAACGAAAATTAATGGGTCCAATAGGCCATCATGAAATTTATTTTGCAAACTAAATTTGTCCTATTGACACGATGAATTTGTGTAAAAAAATATTTTTTAATGATCTCAGGTAAGTGAGCCTCATGTGAATAATATTATTATATATTTTTAAAAACTCCTCACATCGATGTCCAATGAAAAATATATTTTTTAATTTAGTAATTAATTTTTTAAAAAACTTCAGAACTCGCCATGTCAAGACGAGTTCCTTTGGAATTTAAAATAAACTAATCGTTTATAGCTGTTGTACAATGAGCAACAACAACGGTCAGATTTCAATGGGCATATTTCAACTCATTACCTCGACGTGACGAGTTCCATAAGATTTCTGAAAAATATAGTTGTTGGGTTTGACGTTATAAGTTTAGAGTTTAAGATTTTTATTTTGTATTGTTAAGAAAAAAAATGAGAAAATTTTGTATCATTTTTTAAGGATTCCTGAAAATGTTTACCCGAGATGAAATGTTACGCCTTAAATTTGTCTATATTTTTTATCTCGAACTCACACCGAAAGAATAACGGGGCATTCGTCAATGAGGAATGACACTTAGAGATCTGCATTAGCAGATTATCGTATATCTACAACAATTCTGGTTGTAGCTAGTCATATTTCTGCGTGTTTTCAAGGTGAACCCAACATAGATTCCGGCACTGATTGAACGTTAAAGATCTGAAACGCATACTTTCCATTTTTTCGAATGGTGAAGCGATGATTATATTGGAAGATGTCGCTTACCAACTCGGTGTTTCGGTTAATGGTGCAACACTAGTGAGGCACAAATATTACAACTGATTTATTATTGTTGAGAAAGTTCCGAGAAAGATGCCACTACCAAAGATCTTAGACGGTACCAGATACAGATAATTTGGTTGGAGTCCGAATTTCATGTCACTAATGACTCTACCGAGGATGATGTCATATTTGCAACCTGAGTGTATCTTCTCCAATTGATTAAAATGATATTGTTATAGGATAAATCCATAAATTTGGTGCACATTCAGCATCTTTTGATATTGAATAATTTTACTAAGTATCATACACTAGTTGGGGCTCAACAATTTTGACACTTTTATATCGGGAACTTTGCAAGGCTACAATTGTTGAAAGGGGTCAAAAAACCGATGGAGCAGGTTGTTTAGTCGTGCTACAGTCTTGGGTGTGATATGGATTCCCATTTTTTATGCTAATTACAACAGTCCTGGTTAAGTTTCCTCTTGCTAGAAGGTAAATTTTAACTATATATTTTTTAGTAAATTTTTAATTTTTTATCCTTATTTTTAAATTTTTATTTATAATATTATTTAGATAATAAAATTACCAAGACTAAGTTATCGGTGTAAATAAAAATGATATACGAATGAGGATTGATATCACTGATCGAAATGCGATAAATATTATTTTATAAATTACTTATTTTTTATTTATACTAATTTTTATAATTAATGTTTATAGATTGACAAAAGGCTAACTTTTGCCTCTATAGTAGATTGAATTTATCACATTTGCCCCTATCGTATTTTCATATTAATTTATCCTTCGAAGTTACTTAATTGCATCATTATATACCCTACTCCTAACTAAAAACCCTAAATTATAAATTTTAAACCTAAATCCTAACCCCATAAACCTATAAACTATAAACTATAAATCCTAACTCGAGATTTATAATTTAGAGTTATAAGTTAGGGATATGGTATAGAATGATACAATCAAACAACTTTAAGGGCTAAATTGATATGAAAATACAATAGGGGTGAAAACAATAAATTAGGTTTACTATAGGGGCAAAGGTGACCCTTAAGCCTTATAGTTTAATTGGATTTTGTATTGTGACGATGAGATGTACCGATTACTTCCATCGAGCTTTTTTGAAGTCTTAGAGTTGTGGTGTGCTGTTACGCCTTTGCTTCATTTTGTGATTGTTGAGATATATGCTGCAGATAGAGTTTTGCGCTAATTTACGTCACATCAATTAATTCATACACAAATATTCGACATTTCTCTCTACCTCCAAAATTATAAACCAAATAAGAAATCATATTTAACAACACCGAAGAGATGAAACAATGGGAAGAAATGAAGGCCAAATTCGCAAAGGGAAAAAAATCATCATCATCAACATCTTTGTCTTCTGCTCCTGTCAAATATTTTACATCTCAGACCAATTATGATTTTTATCCTCCATATCATGCTTCGGTGGAGAGTCAGTCGAATTTGGTTAGAGGTTTATGGGATGCAATGCAAAGTGCTCAAGCATCTTCGATAGAACATGTGAGTGAATGAGATCATATTATATATGATCAACAATGTACTGATTTCGGTGGTCAATTTGAGTCAACGACAATAATGATGGCATTAAGTACCTTAAGTATTCTATTACCGTATTTTGAAAGTGGATCTCACAGTGGAGTGATGTTCAGTATACCTCCTGTTGAAGAAGCAAACCAAGATGAAAATATCAAGGCGGACGACTAAGACGAAATCGACGAGCCCCACGTCATTATCATTTGAACACTCATCGACATCGTTAAGAATTACAAAATATAAATAATTTTTTTTATGGATTCCATTAGTTTGTTATAACTTTTATTATTAGTATGTAATAAATTATTTTGTATTAAACTATTTTTTAAAAAAATAAATTCGATAAAACTTGTCATATCATTACTGCTTTGTTGAATCTCTACTATTAAAAGTTAGAAATTAAGATTAAAAAGCCACTCGTTGTTGAACGATTAGTTTGCCTTAAATTTCAGAAGAACTCATCACGTTTAACGTAATAAGTTTTTGAAAAATATATTATAATACTTGTCCCCATGAGACTCACTTCTTTGAGACCATTAAAAATATTTTTATCTATTAGGCCAATTAACTCTGACGTATGGCCTATGGGAAGAAAACCCACTAAAACTAGCCCAAAGTCCCTTAGAAAAACGAAACTTGCTTTACCCAAAAATTTGTTTTTGATTCCCCGCTCGTTCTTGCCACTTCGATCTAATTCTTATTCTTATATGAGATTTTGCATTTGCCCAAATCCAATTCAATAGCACCCCAAAGACCATTTTTTTTTCATTTCTCTGTACTTGGTTGTCAGTTGTCACCAGAGCTACTCGCTCTCTTTTGAGGGTTCCTTTCAATTCTAGGGTTTTAGTAAAAAACCCATAATTTTGGTTGTTTGATTGACAGTTTCTATGGAGACGGAGACACTAGACGATAGCAAACCGGTGGAGGAGGCTGCTGCTCCAGTTAACGATAAAGAGGGCGCTAAACAAGAGAAAGAAAAAGAGGAGAAAGACGTTTCTCGGGAAAGTGAGGAAAAGAAGGAAGTTGAGGAGACTATGGAGGAAGATGAAAAGGAAGACGAAGAAGAAAAGGAAGGTACTAAAGAGGCCAAAGGTAGTAGTCGAAAGCGAAGATCTAGGAAACTCAAACGATATTCATCGGAGAATAAAGAGTCTGTGACACCGAGTAGTGACAGGCCGACAAGGGAAAGGAAAGTCGTTGAAAGATACTCGGTTACATCTGTTTCCAGGTCTTCCACTCCCAAACCTTTGTCAATTGAAAAGGTTTTTTTCTTAGCTAAGGATTCGATTAGTTTTCACCCATACTTATGTTCCCGTCTTGTTTTTGTGTTTTGATTGTTTTTTGAGCTTGTGTTTCTGTCAGGGTCCTGGTACACAGCTTAAAGATCTACCAAATGGTATGTATCTTTTTCTTTGAATTATTTCCAATCCATAGAATTTGATGGTATTTCCATTCTCTATTCATTTACGAACCATTGTTGAACTGCATTTTGTTGGATGCTGTAAACTATCTGAGTTCTGGTTATAAAAGCTGAGTTTATACAGTTTCGGCGTGTAATTTTAACCATTTTAATTGTTCTTAAGCTTGATTGAGTATTAATTAATAATGGGAATGGATGAAGCCTTGGCTTAAAGTCTAAAGTTGTAAAACTTCATAAAAATAGACCTCTATGTGAAGCCTTTTGAACTGTTCTGATAGCCTGTTAAAGTACTTACTGATAATGTTTGCAATTATTTTGTTTTTCGTATCAATTGTTTCATTGTGGGTTGATGCGCGTAGTCAGAGCCTAATATGTGCTCAAATCACTTGTGATACAGATGATACAGTAATATTGAACTACTGTCAATATTTAGTACTTATATACTGCAGGATAACAATAATCTGAAATTATTAGAAAACAGGGAAAATTAAATAAAGAAAAGTTAAACAGTAGAAAAGAAAAGATATCACAAGCTTCACCCCTAGGGTTGCATCACATAACCAAGAAGAAAGGAAGCCTAAGCATCAGGGTTAGGGTTAATTGAATTGCACAGTCTGAATTGCAAATACTTGGACTCTAATCCCACAGCTTATTAGGGTTCTGCGTCATTAAGTTACTGCAGTTTTCATTTAATATTTGGTTTTCAAGATCGTCTTGGATGACAGACGGATTCTAATCCTGTCATTTTGATGGTATTTTATATAAAATAGTCCTTTTTATATGTTTACTTTACTTTGTTGTTACTGCAGAGTCTGGCCTATTTTTTCTCTGATATTGTGAACTGTTTCGAAGAGAAAATTTGATGATAATCTGCAGATGCTTCATATGATACTCTTTGGAAAGAAAGCAAAGGTAATCGAGCTATCTTGTCTAGATGTTCCATGATCCTTTTTTATGTTTTTTTTTGTTTGCTTTTACAGCCACAAAGATTGAAGAGAAACATTAGCCAATTTTCTGGCTATGTTTGGGGACAGAATGAGGTATTTTCTTTAATTTTTTGAAAGTTGGTTATTTCATTTTTATTTTTTTCCAGTGGTCCACCACCTGAGTTCTTCTCTTCTTCATTGTAGTATGTATGTTAATATATGATAGATTGCCTATGATTATTCACAAGTAAAATCTTGTTAAACCCATTCTTTTTTTTTTCAGCAGGAAAACAAAAGGCAAAAGTAAAGGAGAAAATTGAAAAATGTGTTAAAGAAAAATTAGTTGATTTATGTGATTTGCTGAATATTCCAATCACGAGGGCTGCTGTACGAAAGGTCAATAAAAGCATATACTATAATACATTAAATGTACCGATGTTTATGTGGTAAGTGTGCATCTCTATTTAGGCCAATTGATTTCAATTTCTGGAGGAACTCTCTGCCAAATTGTTGGAATTTCTGGAATCACCCCATGCTACAACTGACGTTCTACTTGCTGACAAGGAACATGTACACTGTTATTTCTTAATCTTTTGTGTGATATGGAGTATTTGGCATGATTAACTGTCTGTTTCAGATTGAATGAGATTCTTTATTCATCATGTTTTCAAAGGGTAAAAGCGTAAAGCTACACCAAGCAAAAACATTGCTTCTGAGGAAGCATCAAATACATCAGCCAAGGTTTTTCATCAGCCAAGGTTTGTCTTGTCTGCTTGTGTTCCATTTTTGATACATACATACATATGTATATATATATAACTTTTTTGTTTACTTCCTTCATCTATGATTGTAGAATAGTGATTGTTTCTGCATGTATTGATTTGCAGTTTTTAACTTTATTGAATCTGTTGTAAACCTGTTCGGTGTCGAGTCTAAATTTTTTATTGATGTGGTAATTTTTTAATGTTCATTAGCATTAAGCCATTAAGCACAAAGGATTTATGCTTGGATGTTAAAGTTCTCTTATTATATATCGTTATACAATATATTGGTCAAAGGTGACATCACCAAACAGTTCTTTTGTTAATGCTATAAATGAAATTAACAAGGGGATGAAGGATAATTTAATAGATTTGCCCATCTTGGATGGTCGTTTAGAGTCAAAGGAGGTGGAGGATGTGATTAATATGGGCTTTACAAATAATTGTGCTATCATAAGATCCAAGGGAGAGGAAGTCCAATAGGATGGGGCTGTGGTTGAACGGGTGATTGGAAAACCCAAATCAGGGATAATATGTGAGGATTTGGACCAGAGTCTTGGCTTGTCAACACAATTGAGGGACATTTCTTTCTCGCTCAATTCCAGGCAGAACCAGAGAGTTAAGGAGGGGATTAACAATAAATATAGCTCTCTCTAAATAATTGAAGAGAAATATTCGGCTCCCCGTAGGAAGACTAGACTCTGCCGAAGCAAGATTAATCAGAAGAAGCTGCATCGCGAGGAAGAATGGATTGAACTTGAAGGCTCACAAGTATTTTTGATTTCGGAAAACTATAGCAGTGGAAGAATTGGAAGTTTCAGGTGATTTGCATTTGATTATTGAATGAAGTTGGAGGTTCGGATGGTCTCCAATGACAAGACGAGAAATAAGAGGTAGAAAGGCAGATAGAGTGATTTCGAAGCTAGATTTTTTTACTCTTATATTGTGGAAGCTCATGGCTTTTGTGTTAGAATTTGGCTTTTTTGGAATGAGTCAGTTGATATTTGAGGCTGGCAAGATGATGGATTCTTTCATAGTATCTATAGATCCAGGCCCTCCAACTTTGCTGGAGCTTTTTCCTAGGTCTTGTAATATGGAGGCAGACAAGTTAGTTAAGGAGGGGATTGGTTGATTGTTTTAGGCATTTGGTTGTATTGTTTTCTGTTGTATTCCAGGAAATGTTTAGCCGTTAAGTCTTCATTGTTGTTGCTAAATTGGTTAACAACTCAGCCAAAATTTATATTGTGTTAGTAGCTTAGTTGGTTTAGGCTGAGCTAGTTCTGTTGTATAGGGTTGTCTTCGGCTCTTTTTTGGTTTTTTGGTTATGCTAGGGGTGTTTATCTGGTTGTATCTTATGTAATTTCTTTTGGTTAATGAAATCTTTAGGCACTCTTTTCCTCATTCCGCTGATTAAGGAGCTTATCTACAAGCTCCTTTAATCAAGAAGGGGTTTTTTAACGAGGCCTTCAATTCCTATAATTTTTTTTTTTAACAAAATTGGCTTTTAGCTGATAACGATGGGGTTTTAGAATTGTCAATTTGCCATGTTTCTTGTAAGGGTCATTAAATAATGTTAGGCAATCCAGATTGGTGCTCTAACGACCTGTACGGGTTGCTGCTGCTTGAGAATGATGACTTCTCTCTTATGTTTATTTGTCTGCTTGATATTTTATCTATGTGGAATTTTTGGTGGCCGAGAGTGTTTGGTGCTTGTTATTTTGTTCTCGGTTTTGCTCTGCAGAAGCAAAGAAGCACACCTCAAGTCAGAGGAAAGCGTAAGCGTTCATTGGAAGTTGAGGAAAAAGATGAAGATGTGAATCCCTTGTTAGTAAAGATGATTCTTGTTGAGTTAATCGATTGACGGAATTAGTCAAGAGGGGGTGAATTGACAATTAAAAATTTGGTGGAAGCTTTTGCAGAAAATTGAAAGTAATTGCACAGCGATTTAGAGTGGTTCGACTTTCTCAATCAAAGTCTATGTCCACTACCTTAGCTATCCACACTAAGGATTTTCCAACAAATTCACTAATTTGTTCTTTCTTTTGAGGCCAAAGAGATAATATTACAACACCCTCAAGAATATACCCCAATTCTTGAGAACATTTTTTCCTAAAGAGAAAATTATAAACTTGCAAACTTACAAGGAAAACCTCACAAGGTAAGATGTTTGCACAATTCTAGAACAAGAAAAGAACACTCAAAGATAATTACAAATGAGCACAAATGGTGTTCTTGAAAGCAAAATGAATATTAAAAGGAAAATTGGCTTGATTTGCACAAACTTGGTGTTTGATGCTTTCTCTCTTGTTTCTCTATAATTTCTTATTGATCAAGGGCTTCAGAACTTGTTTAAATACACCTTGAATCACTTCTGAACGTTGGGGATGATTAGTGAAGATCATATAGCCGTTTTAGTGTGAAAACAATTAATAAACCAGCTTGGAGCGTGGGGAGAATCGGTACCCCCTATGGGGAATCTGTTCCCTGAGTGTAAAATTCAAATATTTCGACCGTTATACAAGGGGGGATCGGTACCCCCTGGGGGGAATCGGTTCCCTCCGAGCATACTGGAATTCTCGGAGCCAAACCATTCAGGGGGAATCGGTACCCCCTATGGGGGGAATCGATTCCCTCTGAGCAATCTGGAATTTTTGGCTTTGAAATGGTTCGAAATACTTTGTAAAATTATTTTGAAATTGTTTTAAGATTAAAACTTGATTTTACACTTTGAGTAATGTTCTGATATTCGAATAATTCTATCGAATATACTTAGAAAATCATTTGGAAAATCTTAAAATTCATTTAACTTAATTTGTTATATCGAAATATCAAAATGTTTTCAACAATCTTTCCCTTTTTGATATAACAAAACATTTTAGTAATTTTAAGATTTTGAAATCAAGTTTTGAAATTACTCCCCCTTACTTTAACACTTCTCCCATTTATCATTTAAAAACACTTTAACACTTCTCTCCCTTTTTGTTAAATCAAAAAGACATTTTAAAGAATTTAAATAAGGTTTTGAAATCATTTAGCCAATTGATTATATATAATATAAGCTGCTAAGATCACAAGCAAGAGAAATGTTAGCCATTAGTTTTATAATCAATATTCATAATTAATGTGAAATGGCAAAATTGGTTATATATTTAATCATGAAGTAAATGATGCAATAATGAATAAATTTAATCACACCAAATAGATAATTTCTAACCATTCATAAATCCAAACAAATTCAAAGTCAATCAATTTACAAATTCAAACATTCCAAAATATTCAAAATGTTAAAACAATAAGTTTGGAGTTCAAAGCAAAACATTGAATCATATATCCGGATAAGGAGGAGGAAAACGAGCTCGCATAGTGGCCATTTCGTTAGTGAGGTCATTAATACGTGCGTTGGTTGCTTCATTATTTGCACGCATTTCCCGAAAAATTTCTAACTTTTGAGCTCCCATTGTGGATAAATGGGACTCTATAGAAGTAAAGCGCGAATCCATAGTAGCGTATCGAAAATCGAATGTCTCCATAAAGGATTGTAAATATGGAGGCATTGGATGCGTTTGTTGTGCTTGCCCTTCGGACTGCTCCTCGGGCTGCTCAGGCTCATCTTCGGCTTTATCGATGTCTCGCATTAATTGCTCAAGCTCGAGATCTTCGTCAGCTTCGGGTGGAGCTTGTGAAGAACTAGCTCCCGGAATATTTGCAGAAGATCGAACCCATTCACCGGTTTCCTTATCCTTAATCCATCCCGCTCTCGTTAAGGAAAGAAGGTTAATTTGTTTCTTAAGGGGAAAAACGTCATCTAGACTGACTCTAAGCTCAGCTTTGGAAAACAGATTACTCAAAATGCAACCGTAAACAAGAGAGGAACAGAGTTTCTTGTTAGGAACAAAATTTACGGTTTCAACAATTTCAGCAAAAATAATATGAGGTAGGTTGATTTTAATATTGTTTTCGAAACAATGTAACCACCAAAGATCTAAGGCTCTAAGAGTAGAATAACGACCTCCGGATGATCGAAACCACCAAGAAATCATTAGATGAAGAAAACGTTCATGAAGGTCTATGACACTTGCACTATCCCTTATTTTATAACGAGATTCTAAAACCTGTTTTTCATTTGAAATCCCATCATTATCTAATCCAAATGTATTGGCTATGTAAGTCGAGTCAATATATAAAAATTGTCCTAGAAGGTAGGAACGAATTCCTATGGTTTCGGTTTCAGTTTGGTTTTTAACACAAACGGCATTAGAATAGAAAATACAAACAAGTTGATGGTAAACGATGGGTTCAAGGTCAAAGAGTTTATCAAATTTTCACTCTTTTAAAAGAGGAAGATATTTAAAATTGATAGTTAACATAGCTTGACGAGAAAGAATACGTTCTTTCCG